CCATAGCTTTCCTCCTTCCTCCTCCCTCCTCCCTCATTTCTTCTTCTTCTTCTTCTTCTTTTTCTTCTTCTTTTTCGTCTTCAACTTCTTCTTCTCGTTTCTACTTCTTCAACTGCTTCTTCTCGGCATAGGTTCCCTCCCTCCTCCACTGCTATAGCTTTCCACATCCCTCCTCCCTCTTACCTCCTCCCTCCTCCCTCCTCCCTCCCCCCTGGTCTCCTTTTTCATAGCGCACCCCCTCCCCCCACTTCCCCATAGCGCACCAACTCCACGTCAGCGTCCGCCATAGCCCACCCATCTTACCCTCCTCCCTCTTCCTCTCTCTTCCCTCCTTACCCTTCCCCCCTGTCCCTCCTTTTTCCTAGTGCTGCTGCACCCAAAGCTTTCCTCCCCTCTCCTCCAGGCTCCTGCCTCCTTACCCTTCCTCCCTCCTCCCTCCTCCCTCCTACCGCCTCCCTCCTTTCTGTACTTCTTTTTCTTCTTCTTCTTCTTCTTCGTCTTCTTCTTCATTTTTTTCAACTTCTTCTTCTCACGCCTACCTCCTACCCCCTCCCCCTCCCTCTGTCGCCATAGCTTTCCTCCTTCGTCCTCCCTCCACCCTCCTACCTCCTACCTCCTTTCTTCAACTTCTTCTTCTTTTTCTTCTTCTTCTTCTTCAACTTTTTCTTATGGTTTCTACTTCTTATTCAACTTCTTCTTCTCATCATAGGTTCCCTTCCTCCTCCGCCGCCATAGCTTTCCATATCCCTCCTCCCTCCTCCCTCCCCTCTCGCCATAGTCTCCCTCCCTCCTCCTTCCTCCCTCCCCCTCGTCTCATTTTTCATAGCGCACCTCCTCCCCCCACTTCCCCATAGTGCACTAACTCCACGTCAGCGGCCGCCATAGCCCACCCATCTTACCCTCCTCCCTCTTCCTCTCTCCTCCCTCCTTACCCTTCCCCCCCCCCTCCCTCCTTTCTCCTAGTGCTGCTGCACCCAAAGCTTTCTTCCTTCCTCCTCAAGGCTCCTCCCTCCTTCCTCCATCCTCCCTCCTCCCTCCTTTCTTTACTTCTTCTTCTTCTTCTTCTTCTTCTTCTTCTTCTTCTTCTTCTTCAACTTCTTCTTCTCGCGCCTACCTTCTACCTCCTCCCCCTCCCTCCGCCGCCATAACTTTCCTCCTTCCTCCTTCCTCCTTCTTCCTCCCTCCTCCTTCCTCCCTCCTCCCTCCTCCCTCCTGTCTTCAACTTCTTCTTCTTCTTCTTCTCCTTCTTATTTTTCTTCTTCTTCTTCTTCTTCTTCTTCTTCTTCTTCTTCTTCTTCTTCTTCTTCTTCTTCTTCTTCTCGTTTCTACTTCTTCTTCAACTTGTTTCTACTTCTTCTTCAACTTCTTCTTCTTGTCATAGGTTCCCTGCCTCCTCCACCGCCATAGCTTTCCACCTTCCTCCTCCCTCCTCCCTCTTACCTCCTCCCTCCTTTCTTCTTCTTCTTCTTCTTCTTCTTCTTCTTCTTCAACTTCTCTTTCTCGTTTCTATTTCTTCTTCAACTTCTTCTTCTCCCCATAGGTTCCCTCCCTCCTCCGCCGCCATAGCTTTCCACCTCCCTCCTCCCTCCTCCCTCCTACCACCTCCCTCCTTTCTTCAACTTTTTCTTCTTCTTCTTCTTCTTCAACTTCTTCAACTTCTTATTCTTGTTTCTACTTCTTCTTCAACTTCTTCTTCTCGCAATAGGTTCCCTCCCTCCTCCGCCGCCATAGCTTCCCACCTCCCTCCTCCCTCCTCCCTCCTACCTCCTCCTTCCTACCTCCTCCCTCCTCCTTCCTCCCTCCTTACTTCAACTTCTTCAACTTCTTCTTCTTCTTCTTCTTCTTCTTCTTCTTCTTCTTCTTCTTCTTCTTCTACTTCTACTTCTTCTTCTTCTTCTTCTTCTTCTCGTTTCCACTTCTTCTTCAACTTTTTCTTCTCGCCATAGGTTTCCTCCCTCCCCCGCTGCAATAGCCTCCTCCGTCCTCCCTCGCCATAGTCTCCCTCCCTCCTCCCTCCTCCCTCCCCTCTCGCCTCCTTTTTCATAGCGCAACCCTTCCCCCCACTTCCCCATAGTGCACCAACTCCACGTCAGCGGCCGCCATAGCCCACCCATCTTACCTTCCTCTCTCTTCCTCTCTCCTCCCTCCTAACCCTTCCCCCCCCCCTCCTTTCTCCTAGTGCTGCTGCCGCTATAGCTTTCCTCCTCCCTCCTCCAGGCTCCTCCCTCCTTGCCCTTTCTCCCTCCTCCCTCCTCCCTCCTCCCTCCTCCCTCCTACCTCCTCCCTCCTTTCTTTACTTCTTCTTCTTCTTCTTCTTCTTCTTCTTCATCCTCTTCAACTTCTTCTCGCGCCCACCTCCTACCTGCTCCCCCTCCCTCCGCCGCCAGAGTTTTCCTCCTCCCTCCTCCGTCCTCCCTCCTCCCTCCTTCCTCCTCCCTCCTTCCTCCTCCCTCCTTTCTTCAACTTCTTCAACTTCTTCTCGTTTCTACTTCTTCTTCAACTTCTTCTTCTCCCCATAGGTCCCTCCCTCCTCCGTCGCCATAGTTTTTCCCGTCCCTCCTCCGCCACCACAGCTTCTCTGTCAGCCTGACTTAAAATGACTTGCAATTTTTTTTTTCTTCTGCTTGTTTTTCGTTTTTTTTTTTTTTTTCCGTTTCTTCTTATTCTTCTTCTTCAACTTCTTCTTCTCGTTTCTATTTCTTCTTCAACTTGTTCTTCTCGCCATAGGTTCCCTCCCTCCTTCGCCGCCATAGCTTTCTCCCTCCCTCCTCCGCCGCCATAGCTTTCCTCCTTCCTCCTCCCTCCTCCCTCCTCCCTCCCCTCTCGCCATAATCTCCCTCCCTCCTCCGCC